CTGCTCAGCAGGTTCCCCTGGGGACAAAATAAGAACATGGATGTAAAAGCTCTTTGAAAGACATAACTGTTTCTATTTGGGGTGCATCACATGCCAACTTCCGGGGGAGACCTGGTTATAAACTGGAAAAGACCCACATGTGAGGTACACATTTGGGCCCAGTAACTGTCAGGTTCAGTTACTATCATGTTCTAAACGAGGGGTCGTGTTTTAATTTGCAAACAATTATTTGGCACTTACTACATGCCAGACCTTGTTATAATGACCTCCCCTAAGCATCCAGTGGGTACTATTTTTTTCACAGCAGGATCTAGACTAGCCTGTAAATAAATGGGAGAAAATGGGTGTACCCCAGGAGCCAAGAATTTATGAGGCCATTTAGACCTCTGCCTACCACAATTATGAAAGTCTTATTTTATTTTTTAAATATATTTTTATTGAGTTCAGAGGGGAAGGGAGGGGGAGAGGGAGATAGAAACATCAATGATGAGAGAGACTCATTGATCGGCTGCCTCATGCTAGCCCCACACTGAAGATCAAGCCCACAACCCAAGCATGTGCCCTGACTGGGAATCGAGCTGTGACCTCCTGGTTCATAAGTCGATGCTCAGCCACTGAGCCATACCAGCTGGACTAGGCTTATATCCTGATATAAATCTTATCTGGATTATTTAATTTGACAAGTACACTCCTATTATGCCTTGTTTTTCATCAAACTGTACTTCTGATTCCCTATTAACCATTCAACCCAATCCCAAAAATTCTGATTAAGCACTGAATGTATGCTGGGTACTGCTCCAGTTCTTCAAATGCTCTCCCTCCAGGGTAGGAAATACGGTAAGAAAAGACAAGTATACCCATGGTTCTAAACAGGCGTCTTCAAACTACGGCCCTCGGGCCACATGCGGCCCGCAGAGGAGTCTGATCCGGCCCGCCAGGTTTTTTGGGCAGTGAGCGCAGCCGAGGTGTTACAGTAGGAATTAGTAGTTCATATAGTCCGGCCCTCCAGCTCTCTGAGGGACCGTGATCTGGCCCCCACTTTAAAAAGTTTGAGGACGCCTGTATCTAAAGCAAGGGTAGGGAACATTTGGCCAGAGAGCCATATAAGGCCCATGAAATCATTTAGTCTGGCCCTGCCAAGACATTAGGGGTGAGCTAATTAAATGTTTGACCACATATAGTAGGCTCATTTTTTAAAAAACATATTTTATTGATTTTTTATAGAGAGGAAGAGAGAGGGGTAGAGAGTTAGAAACATCGATGAGAGAGAAACATCAATCAGCTGCCTCCTGCATACCCCCCACTGGAGATGTGTTCACAACCAAGGTACATGCCCCTGACCGGAATCTAACCCTTCAGTCCGCAGGCCGACGCTCTATCCTCTGAGCCAAACCGGTTTCAGCACAGTCTCGTTTTTAAGTTGATAATTTTGTATGGCCCACAAATGATGTTATAAATACCCAAATGGCCCTTTGCAGAAAAAAGGTTCCCCACCCCTGCTCTAAAGTATGCCAGAATGGCTAAAGAGAGGAAGAGATACAGATCTGTCCCATCGAGCAAATAAAAGCTTCAGGAAGAAGGTGGCACTTGATTTAAATCTTGAAGAACAAGTGGGACAGTAAGAAGGAGAGATTACTGGAAGGGTATAAGGCGGTCCAGATGGAAGTAAGCATGTAATTGTATGAGCACATCATTAAAGAGAGAAGGGAGAGGCCTTATCTAGCAAGAGCTGCTAGATAAGTTTGCATGAAGAATAAGAGATGCAATTAGAAAGGTACGTTGGTGTCACACGGAGGCTTGGACATAAAACTAAAAAGTCATGGAGAACTATGGGACACTGTCAGGGGAAATAACAAAACCAGAGCTGAGGTCTAGAAGTATGAGTCAGGTGGTGGCGCGCAGGCAAGGGAGAAGCGGGAAACCCTGAACTCTTGTGATGGGAAACGAGATAGGAGGCTTTCCCAGTCGTCCATGTTAGGAAGTGAGCACAGAGGAGAAAATCCAAGAGGCATGCCCCGTCGTGCAAAATGTGGGCAGGAAGAGAAAGAGGAGACGTGACTGACTCAGAGGTTTCTGCCTGCAACGGAACAATGTTCCCTGATTGCAGTTTATCATTTCATATGAATTAAATGACTCAAGAAATCAGACTCACAGTCCTTTGTGGCTGGAAGGGGTCGCAGAGATCTCAGAAAGAGGCCACCAAGAATCTGTCAAGTTAAATATCATTTCAAGGCATTCGGCTGATTAGGAGCAGATCTCGGGGCAAGTGAGCCCAGGCCTTTACATTTCCCATCAAACCAACTGCTGGTTCCTTGGTAACCATCACAAAGCCCTTTTACGGGCAATTTGTGAAAGGTAAACATCATAATTCATGATTGGGCAAAGGAAAGAATGGGCCCTTTGCTTGGCATGAGTGAAAAGGAACAATTTCTCCTTTTCACAGAAGAGTCTGCCCGAGCTTAGTGTACAACACAGGTTAACTACATAGAAAAATATGTGCTAGAATTCCCCTCAGAATTGCAACATAACCATGGGTGTTCTGTTACCTCCAGATCTTTCCAGTAGTTTGAATTCAAAGGTTCAAACTCGCTCTCAGTGTTGGCCCTTAATTTGAGGGGTGGCGAGGGGGTGGGGGCAGGGGACTGCCAAATGCCACTGAGATATTTCCAAAGCAAAGTCCTTCCTGTTTAACTTAATCATAGTAGAATGCAGCCAGCTCGTTGGCCATTTCTTCTACCTATTTGGAGTGTTTGCCAATCACAGTTGCAGAAAGCAGTGGCATCTGGGAGCTATCAATTCTGTGTCTTTCCAGGATACTTGCACATCTCTATTCTTCTGGAAAAAAAGCACCTCTTTTCCTTGTGGCCACTCCATTCCCACCCTTAGTGCTTCAGGGAATGGACTGGCAGAGAAATGTCTCAGTGATGAATGTATGGCTCTTTCATTCAACTCCAGGAGAGGGAACTTAGCCTGTCTACACCCAGAAAGGCAGAGCATACATCTTTGTTAAGCAAGGTCCTCGCTTATTATGCTGAGTGAAATAAGTCACACAAAGAAGGACAAGTTCTATATGAGCTCCCTTACATATAGAATCTAATGCAGCTGAACTCATAAAAACAGAGAATAGAATGGTAGCTGCCAAGGAGTGGGGGAAATGGGGAGATGTTGATATAAGGGTACAAACTTCCAGTTATGAGATGTCCTGGGAATCTACTGCATAGCATGGTGACCAAATTATATACATTATACACCTCAAACTTACACAATGTCATGCCAATTATATATCCACTAGAGGCCCAGTGCACGAAATTCGTGCATGGGGGTGGGGTGGGATGTGTCCCTCAGCTCAGCCTGCACCCTCTCCAATCTGGGAACCTTCAAGGGATGTCTGACTGCCCATTTAGGCCTGATTCCACTCTCACAATCCAGGACTACTGGCTCCCAACCACTCACCTGCCTGATTGCCCCTACCCCTTTCTTCCTGCCAGCCTGGTCACCCTCCAACCACTTCCCTGCCAGCCTGATTGATGCCTAACTTCTCCCCTGCCAGCCCAATTGTCCCTAACTTCCCTCCCCTGCCAGGCTGGTCACCCCTAACTGCCCTCCCCTGTCGGCCTGGTTGCCCCTAACTATCCTCCCCTGCAGACCTGGTGGCCCCCAACTGCCCTCCCCTGCTGGCCTGGTCACCCCTAATTGCCCTCCCTTGCCAGCCTGGTCACCCCACAACTGCCCTCCCCTGCAGGCCTGATAGCCCCCAACTGCTTTCCCTTGCTGGCCATCTTGTGTCCACACAGTGGTGGCCACCTTTGACCACATGGGGACAGCCATCTTGTGTGTTGGAGTGATGGTCAATTTGCATATTATCTTTTGATTATATAGGATTATATAGGATCCTATTTCAATAAAGCTGGAGATAGAAGAACAAGAGAGAAACCTGCACTGTCTGGCCATCCATAAGCCAAGATGGTTCGTGGTCAGGTACTATCCCTTCCCAACTTGGAAAAACCACGTCCTCTACCCTTGTTGAAGTCGGTGTGAGTAGAGTAAAAAGAGGAGAAATAAGCTGAGGGGATGGGCAGACACATGAAGAAAGCCTAATTCCCCAGGTCCCTCTCAAGCATTTCCTGCTAAGTCCCTCTCAAGACGGTAAGGAATCCCCTTGAAAGCAAGGTTACATCCGCTCTTCCTCACCACCCCAGCCTCTTGTTTTATGCTGCTGTGAAGTAAGGGGCAGGATGTAAGGGGTTAAACTGATACTGCGGGCTCCGGGCAGAATTCCTCAGGAAGTTGCTAGGACTCATAAACCACAAGGAAAGGGTCCAGATTCAAAGGTCGTAAACTTGACAAGATTTCTGGTATTAGCTATAAAATAATGGCATTCTGGGAATCAAATCCCCTGGCTGACTGCTGGGGAAATCCCAGCCTGGCAAACAAGGAGCTGTCATGGCTTAATCGCTAAGACAAGTCCCTTCCTGGATAAGTGCGTGTAGGACGCAGAAGGTTTAACCAGTGGTCAGCGAACTGCCGCTCTTTGGCCCCTTGAGTGTGGCTCTTCCACAAAATACCATGTTTTTAGCAAAGGCCAGCTTAGGAGTACCCTAATTAAGTTAATAACAATATACCTACCTATTAGTTTAAGTTTAAAACATTTGACTCTCAAAAGAAATTTCAATCGTTGTACTGTTGATATTTGGCTCTGTTGACTAATGAGTTTGCCGACCACTGTACAGCACTCAGTGGAGCTCCTCCCAGATCATCTCTTAGATGTGGTTTTGGGAGGAATAGACAAGGCTACTCCCCCACCAGGCAGACCCAGGAAAAGCCTGAGGCAGCCCAACCGACGGATCAAGTGACCCATTCTGCTGCCGGGGCAAGGGGTGCTTGCTTTTCCTCCCCTACATAAGGTAGTCATTGCTATGGGCCCCAGCCCAGTGCACAGTACTTTAGTGTTTCCTCCTTTCTAAGTGAAAGTACTTAGTGTTTTTCCTTTCATATTATAGACTGTGGTTTGAGAATGGCAGCCGTTTAGTCATGGATTGCTAAACGAGATCATGAGAAGCACATCTGGATTTGATCAAGAGGAACGGAACCACGCCCGGGAATCTTGGTCTTGGAGCTGGAGACAGTAACAGGTTCCCGTTTGAGTTATCTCCCACGAGGGTGCCACTTTTGGTTGTCTGGAGGATCATTCCATTTCCTTAATGGAAGATGTCTTTCTTAATAGCATGTGTGTATGTATGTGTACACGCAAAGCAGCCAAATGGTTGAAAGTAGCGGGCTGCTGTAGCTCTTTGTTGTGGTCTGCCAACATGTTTTCTGTGCCTCTTTTCCTGGTGGGAATCATGTCCCCTCCTACTGCACTGCTGATAGGGTTGATCTGCCCCCAACCAATCATATGAGTAAGCCCCAAACCCAAGATAGACCAATCATCATATCCCATCTCCTGTTAACAGTGACTCATCCAACAGAGGGTCACATCCCCTAGAAGGAAAGATGTTCCCTGAACTGAGGAACTTTCTGTTCCTACTGAAGTTGCTAAGCTGTGGTAGCTGGGGCCCATCCCTCCCCACCACATGGCTTAGAGTCAAAGAAAATGGTGCCGCCTCGCACTTAGAAACAGGGCAGATAAAAGAGACAGAGAGAGAGAATCCCATGCATGGTGTTGAGTCTCAAGTCCTAGTTCCTGGAGTCCTGGGGATGCTGCTCTTGTGGGAGTTCCATCAACTCCCGCCCTTAGACCCCCATTCTTTTCAGCTTTCTGCTTAAGCTACTATGTGATGGGTTTCTGTCACCTGTGACGATGTCGAAAGGAATCTCATTAACATACACCTGATGCTGCAGCCTGGACAGAGAGGTGAGGACAGCACTGGTAGGCAGAAAAGGGTTTTACCTTTCACCTGAGCCCAAACTGCACAGGAGCATCTTCTCACCTATAACGGCAAACACAGCAACAGGTTTAAGTAGATGGCACAAGCTGTCCGTTCTCCGAGGTTCAGCTCTTAATTTGGACTAGAACATATTACATCCAACATATTACATCTCAGCCATATGATCACCAGGTGTTCGGGGGACTGGCAAGTGACCCCAAGGATCACTTCTATAGCTTTCCCTAGATTTCAGAAAGCACATCCTGTGGGTGAACAACAGGCATGGCAATAAAGTTCATTCCCCTTGTTAGCTCTGAACAACTGGCACTGATCCAGTTGTTTATGGGTCAGTGATGTTGACCTCAAAATCTTCTCAACATGAGAATGATGTTGAGAGGATTCTGAGGTCAGCAAGAAGCTTTGATGCATGTGATAGGCAAGGCTACTACTACTGGCACATAATAATACTTCGCTTATAATGATGATACTTAATCTGGCAAACACATTTGCCCAAACTGTAGCCAAGAACCAGGAAGAAAGGGGAAAGAACATGTATGGCTCGGCCTAGGTGGCTCACCTGTTGAGGGTCGACCTATGAACCAGATCACAGTTTGATTCTCAGCCAGGGCACATGCACAGGTTGCAGGCTCCATCCCAAGTAAAGGGCATGTAGGAGGCAGTCGATCAATGATTCTCTTTCATCATTGATGTTTCTCTCTCTCTCTCTCTCTTTCTCTCTCTCTCTTTTCACCTCTAAAGGCAATAAAAATATATTTTAAAAAACATTTAAGATGATAAATTTTATTTTCCCACAACTAAAATTAAATATTTTTTAAAATCACTATTATAATGTTCTGGAATTTGATGGTGGTGATAGTTGCACAAGCCTGTGAACACCCTAACCCTAAAAACCACAGAATTGCATACTTTAAATGGGTAAATTATATGGTATACGAATTTTATATCAACAAAGCTGTTTAAAAATGAGAAAGTCACTACTGATTTTAATATGACTATAACACTAAAATAGTTGAAACTCCTGGGGTAAGTAGTGATTCAAATATGCAAGTCCACGTATACATCTTTTCAAAGCTCCTCATCTCCTTTGGCATCCCCAAAAAACCGGCACATGTTCCACTCAGCTGTATGAAAAGGAGGCAACAATGACATCATAGGAAAGCTTCCCATAAAGTAAAATTTTTATCATAACCTCCCACTTTATCCCCTCCATCATGGACTGAATGTCCCAATGTGGTGATAGTTGGCGGTAGGGCCATTAAAACGTATGGAGTTCAACCATCACAGTGTTTATTCCAGAAGATCCTCCATCCCTGGCTGACGGATCCAGCCATTATATTTATTTATTAAGTGATGACTATTCCGTTCTATGTCTCATGAAAGAACCACAGCTGGGAGAGCACAGCCTTTTTAAGGGCAGGGGAGACTCGAGTGAGGACTACGCAACAGCCACAGAAGAGATGGATGTGGGGCAGGACTGAGCTTAATCTGCCCTCCCCACTGCTTCCAGGAGAATGAGGGAGGCTGCAGGCTGGCAGGAGAATGGGGAAGGGACAAGAGATCTAGAAATTCCTCTCCAACTCGGGCTTCCGCAATGCACTGGCAGGGGGGCATCTGTGAAGCGTCAGAGGAAGAGCCAAAACCAGATCAGCCCAAACGCAGGTCCAACCAGGGCCTCCAGGAAGTTCAGACTATCACCCTCCAAAGACCTGCCCGTCCTTCACCAAGGCCAAGTGTTCAACACATTCTTATGGTTATTATGCGCAGTGTCCATCTCAAACACTGGAAAAACAAATACTCAACCATTCAAATTTCACATGAAGAAGAACATAGTTCATAAGGGCTTTTAAAGACATATACCTTATTCCATTCGCTTGTGATTCGTAATATGATGCAATAATCATTCCCTGTTTTCAAGGGTGCATTATAATATTTCCCATAATACAGCCTGTCTCCAACGGATATCTCCATGGCATCATCTGGAACATGTCTGGCCAGTAGTTCTGCAGCCACGTAGCCATCGGTGTCAGAAGTATTGCTAAAGAATGAGGTCGCCTCTTCGGAATCACAAGAAAACGTGCTTTGGAGGGCCAGGGGAACCACTAACACCTGGTAGGAACTGGAAGGAAAAAGAAAATGTTTATCAGACTCTTGCTTAGGGAGTCATTCATTCATTCATTCATTCATTCATTCATAGTTGTTAAGCACTTGTTGTGAGATAAGCACTTTTCTGAGTACTGGAGCTGCAACTCTGGACAGAAAAAAAAAGTCCTTGCCCACGTGAGATTTAGTCTGACTGCTCCAACAGTCAAAGGAACTCCAGTTTTGACGCTGGGAGAGGAATGTCTTTATGTTCTGGCGACCGACGGACACCAAGGACATCTTTAGCTGACAGAAGTTGTTGCACACATCGCTGCCCTGGGCATACAAGCCACAAAGTGGATCTGATCAGTGATTTTCACGTGGGCAAATAAAGCCCAGCTGAGGGAAGGGTTTGGTCGTCACGTGGAGGCTGGCTGCCCTCAAGAGTTAATGTACTAAGTCTGCAAAAGGCTCCAGGAAATCACATGGTAACTGAACATGGAACTCATGTGATTTGCATTCCCTGCAGTTCACAGAAGGATAGTCAAGTTCGTGTGAAATCAATGAGAAGAAGGGTGAATCTCATCTGACAACATCCTGAAACAGCCAGACCGGCAAAATGTCACGTGTGCATTGTGAAACCGTTTCTAACTGTGGACACAGAAACACGTTAGCCAGCAGGTGTCATTTTGTCATGTGTACTCTTATGTATCCCTCCCAAATAGAAAACCTGTCAGTGAAAGGAAGTCTAAGAATAAAATGTCCCTGAGAATGAATCACGCCTTCCTTTGCGTTGCCCTCTCAGTATCTATCACCTGACTCCGGTATAGTCATTGTTTGAACATCTGCTTTCTCGGTCAGGCTAGAGGGCAGGGATTTGAATGATTTACTCTTACATCTTTGCAGCTCCTTATATTGGTCTTTGGCTGTGATTGACTCCCCACTAATGTTTCCTGAGTAAATTTCAGTAAAGAGAGAGAGAGAAAAAAAACAAAACAGCATGCATCAGATATGATTAAGGTAATTTCCAAAAGTCATTAGGCCACATAATTCCGTTTTACCCATACATGCACGCTTCCTGTTCCACACGTGTAATGCCCCGTAACCTGCTTGCTAAAGGCCCATGAGTCACCGGGCTGAGCACAAGAGCCCTCCCCGAGAGCAGGTGCTGGTTTGGAAAGTCTCCATTCCAAACAGCAGAGGTGTCCGCAGGGCCCTGGTTTCCACAAGGTGTTGGTTTACTCTCGGGCAAAGTGTTTTCTACGAAAGGGACAAGCTAACGCCTGCAGGGGAGTGAGCTGTCACTGTCATCGCCGGTGAGCATTTACTCGGCACTCCCTGCCCACAAGGAAGCACCTGTCACACACCTTTTCCTGGGGACATCAAGGTTTCCCGGTGAATCATGGCTGCGGGGAAGAAAGTAAAAGTGGCAGCAGCTCCATCCTGCCCAGAAGTGTATCTTCAGACCCCTCTCTTCTCTCCACATAGGTGGTGCTGCTCAAGGGCAAAGTCAAGGTTCACCTGAACTATCGGTGCATTGTCCACTGAAGGCGCCACAGTATTCGTGTGGCGGAAAGTTATAATAGCATGACCATAATCACCCAAGCTGCTTGATAACTGACAAATGTCTAGCCCCCATACCAGAACTACTGGACCAAGATCTCCAGGAGTTTCCCTGGCCCTTTGCTCAGTGGGCAGAGCGTTGGCCAGCGGGCCAAAGGGTCTCAGGTTCAATTCCTAGTCAAGGGCACATACCTCAGTTGCAAGTTTGGTCCCCAGTCCTGATTGATTGGGGTGCATATAGGAGGCTACCAGTTGATGTGTCTCTCTCACATTGATGTTTCCTCTCTCTCTCTTTCTCTTTTTCTCTCTTTCTCTCTCCCCCCTCCCACACCTCCATCCTCCCTCCCACTCACTCTCTAATGATCAATGGGGGGGAAAAAAAAATCCTTGGGTTAAGATTAAACAAATCTCCAGGAGTTAACTGAGAATTTGTCTTGCTGCTAACGCCATCCTGGTGACTCCTGTAATCTGTCAAGTGTGGGAGGCGCCACCATTGAGAGAGCCCAGGAACGGGCCGCATCATCCGCCCCAGGTCACCAAGGCAAGGAAGAAAGCCTCGGTCCCAGGGCCCCTGCCCCACCATGTGCCCCGAGCCACTACCCTTTCTCAATAATGCACAAAGCAGACCCAGGCCTGCCGTACACGCGGGCAGGGCTGCTACCCCCAGCTCAGATCAGACACAGCTGTCCGGCGGAGGACACCACCCCACTGGCCTGCTGGTAACTAGCCCTGATGATATCAGGGGAGCAGCTGTGGCTGTTGGAACAGGACTGTTCTGGAAGCACTTTTCCCCTCTTTCTCATCAGCACCCTCCTCTGAATGACTCACAGATCTCCACTTTCCTGCTTGGAAGACACAAAACAGGAGGGTAGTCTGTCATTTGGCTTTTCTTTTTGCCTGGCATCATTGTTTGTTCCAAATATCACATTTTCTCTGGCAAACGCTCTCGGGTAGTGATGTCACGACTTCTGTTGTGCTTATAACACAACAGAATTACAGTGCATCCCAGTCACTTGTCAGGAATCAAGAAACAGAACAACTCAGGCAATAGCCATCCCTGGAAATAGTAAACTAATGGGAAGACAGAAGAAGCCCAAGTTTCGTTATAAATGGACACACGTGTCCCTAGGTGGTTTTTTTTTTTTTTTTTTTTTTTTTTTTATAGTATCTCAAGCTTAGACTGAACTGACAGGTCAAGAGAGATAAAGCAACGTCAGTTAGGTCAAGCGTGGCAAGGTATTGTCATCTCCTTGATTTACGCCTGTGAGGTAGTTGCTCCTCTCTCCAGGCAAACCTCTATCTTCCTCTCTTAAAAAGGGGATAATTCTGCTTTTGTGACCCTATCATGACCTTTGTAAATAAAATGCTTAATTGAACACAATGTAGTCATCCAACCGAGGTAAATTAATTCCACCCTGCTGCTATCTGGGATTCATTAACTATGTGGTATTTCGCCCAGAACTCAATCCACGAGTGAGTTAAAAGAATTATCCAAATGACCTTTTCAGAAGCCACCCATCCTTAAATGAAGGGAAATATGTTCTGGTTTTGATAAATATAATGATGCTCCTGATTCATCGCCACTAACAGATATCCGTGGAGATGTGACATGTCCCAGACCCCCCACCACTGCTTGTCCAATGATCAAAGAAATGGACTTAATTTCTTGACCTACGATGCTGCCTATATGCTGGTCTCCGGTCCTTTGGAAGTCTCTGTAGCTGTTTGGAAGGGGACAGGTTGAAATTAAGAGTCCAGTCTGCACCCAACTGTTCAAGTGCTGCCGCCCAAAGACTCCTAAGCGCTCCCTGAGGATTCCCGGGCGGCCCTGGAAGAGGAGCTGCTACTGACCTGATAGGCCCGTTGCTTTCCTTGGCTTTCCTCAGCTTCAGGCGCGGAAGAGGCCCTCCGTGCACCGTGAAAAAATCTACTTCCGGGAGGGGAGGCTCTGAAAACATGTTGAAAAAAAGAAAAGAAAAAGTACGATCAGAATAAGTAGAAGCAGGAAAAAAGGGGTCCTCGCGGGGCCATCCAAAGGAAAGGCTTAACGTAGGGAGTGATGAGCATATTCGGATGCACGCCACAACATGGATGCATCTTGCAAACATTTACCCTAAGTGAAATGAGCCGGACACACAAGGACCAATATTGTATGATTCCTCTACTGTGAAATAGTAATAACGGCACGAATCCATAGACACAGGGAAGGAGATTAGAAGGTGCCAAGGACTGAGGAGGCTGGGACAGGGAATGTGAAGTTACTGCTTATCGGTCAACAGGGTGATAAAAACATTTTAGAAACAGGTGCTAGGCTCCGGGTAAGGACCCGAAGAGGGGCCGGCTGTTTGCAAAGCCCTGGGGACGTGGCCCTTCCGTTGGAGGCTTTCTGCCCCCGGCCCTCACCTGCCGCTGAGATGCTGTTTGGGTGTCTCGGTAAAGTGAAGTGGTTCTTATCACACATTTCCTGTTTTCAGCCCAGAGGGAGATGAACACTTCTATGGGAGAACCCTCAGAGGCTCTTAGTTATTCCTCTCTGAGCTTTCCGGGGATGAAAAACTCAGTCCTCCTAACCTTTCCAAACCTTTTTCTCCCTTTCTCACCGCCCCGCCCCTCGGTAACAGCAGAACAAAGCGCTCGCTCAGCTCTGCGAAGGCCAAGGCGCACCCACAGCCGAGCACAAAGCCCTCCGAGGCTCGGGCCACGGCCAGGGCTGGGCCTTCAGTCCTAAATGTGCCACCACCAGCAGGCTGACCCCATCACCACGTGCTTTCTGCTGGGCCTGCGCTAGGCCTCCTTCCCGCCCGAGACTTCTACAGCCCGCTTCACCTCCCTGAGGGACAAGCCTGAACTTCATCAGGTGCGCTCTTCCTCAGCCACCTTTCGGGGTGAAATGACGTTAACGTCTAGCCGTATTTCCCAAGGCCCTGTTTCCCAACCCCCCAGCTGCTGTGCTTGCAGATCTGTTCTCCTCTCCGTTAGCCTCACGGCTGATTTAAACCCGACCAGATTCCAGGCAAGAAATGGGTGGTGTCTGCAGAGTGCAGTTCTTCCCTCTGAGTGTGTAAGGGGGGAGGACCCAGAAGGCGACCCTCACAGCCATTCCCGGGTGTTGACAACATCCAGCCCCTTTTAGGAGCAAAGGAGAATCTGGGGCTGCCCTGTGAGAGAACTTTAAAGAGTGTGGAGGAGAGCAACGAAGGAGGCCTTGACCTGGAAAATAGTAAATATATTCTAAAGTCACAACAATTGAAACAGTAAGGTTTAAGCACAGGGCAGGCAAAGGAATGGAAGAAGCTGAGACAATCTTGAAAAAGACCCAAATAATTGGGGGGAAAAATTTTTTTAAATAAAAAAAGACCCAAATAAATGAATGAAAATAAATAAATGTGTGACATGAAAAATAAATGAATGAAAATAAATAATGTGTGACATGAAAAATAAATGAATGAGAATAAATAATGAGTGACATGAATAGTCTTCCCAGAGGTGACAGGAAACTGATAGGAAACTGGGGGGGTACTACCATGTGAAGTTAGTCGTACAGCATACATCCAAACCAATTCCAAACGGATCTAGGTTTACTCAGGAAAAGCAAAGATTTTAAGAAGCACTAGAAAACAAGAATTGATCTGATTTCAGCGTAGGGAAGGCTTTTCTTGGCATGACCAGAGGCAGAAACCACAAAGGAATCATGGAATTGATCACATGAAAATTTTAAAATGTCTAAATGTCCAAAGAATATTGAAAAGAAAACTGACGTGTAAATAACCTGGGGGTTGTGATAAATGGAACAAAAGATTAATCTCATTCATGTAGGCAAGCTATTAAAATCCATAGAGAAAAGAGGTAATGTAAGGGTAAATGTGTTAAAATTCCTCTCTAAAACCCACCAAAATGGACGAAAAGAACCAAAGAAGGAGAAACATTTATTCGTACAAAAACAAACAAACAAACAAAAAAACCCACAAAAATCCAGCATTATACTATAAAAACTTCAAGTAAATGCAAGGAATTAACACACATAAATAAATATGTATAAACAAAGATACCACAGTCATTCTTTCCTCATCCTTACCACTCCAGAGAGATCATGCTGCCCACTCAAGGCAGGATCAATTGAAATTGATGGCAATAGAAGAACTGGCAGCTTACACCATAAGTCATCAGCTATCACGCGGCTAGCTGCATCACCCCATTGATAAAATTTATGAGACTTGGCTCCCAGCAAGAAGAAACAATTTTTTTTTTCCATCTCTATATCAGCACTTAGCCTGGGTCTGTGTACATAACCAATCAATAACTGTGGACTGAATTAAGTTGTTAAGTTGCAGCACGCCCCTCCCCCACTCCTCGGCCCCACAGAAACGCTGGTCTGGGTTCCTCAGAGTTCCCATCGGTGAGATTTAGTTTAATGTAAGACACTCAGAAGGTAAATCCCATTCACTTTTCTTCTGGGAAATCAGCTGCTGCATTTTCCAGGGCCAATCCCCTTCCTTGCCTGACATTTCTGGTCAAATTCAAATGTCCATGATTGGACATTTCTGAAACAAAGCCATAGCTTCAACAACTACATGTGTCTCTAAACAACAACAACTATATATCTATATCTATATCTATATATATATATCTATATATATATATATATATATATATATATTCATTCATTCATTCATCTGATATAGAGAAACTTTCCCATTCACGTTTTCTAAAAGCCACCAAACAGATTTGCACCTCCCCAGCCCCTCTCACCCTCTCTCACTGCCAACACGTGCCCCTGTCCTTCCGCATTCCTAGATCCTCAGACCTCTGCTGAAGTCGGCAGTACTGCAGTGTATCTGGGGCACTAGTTTTCATTCTATTCCCATCAGCAAAAATTTGTTTAATGTAAGACACTCAGAAGGAAAATTCACTCACTTTTCTTCTGGGAAATCAGCTGCTTTGCATTTTTCAGACCCAAATTGCTTAACATTTCTGGTAAAATTCAAAAGTTCACAATTTTACGAAAATAAAGCCACATCTTAGGCAGGCGTACCTCTTCATATCAACATATAAGGTTCCCTTTTTTCCTCTTTTATAAAAGGGATTGGGGTCTTTCTCTCCCCCCCCCCCCCCCCCCAGCTATCCTTCACCCCCTTTCATGAGATCTTAACAGCTTGAATTTTTCCACTTTTTTTTTAAATTGCAAATTCTTTAAAGTAGGGTAGAGTTGGAAAATATGCTGAAGATCTAGCCCTTCAAGCAGCTCACCAGTGCTCCCTGGTGGCCATAATCACAAACACAGAAGGAATTTAACCAACACTCAGGTACACACTACCCAAAATTTAACCAATGGTAACATTTTGTTTCAGATTCCTTTGTAAGAAATAAAACAGTTACACAGAGGCCCCTTAGCACCCCTCTCCAATTCCATGTCCTTCTTCCTCTCTTTCTTAAAGTTCATCCCATAATGATAAAAAGGAATACTGTTCCTCTTTCTCCAGGCCCAGCCACAGCTCCGTGGTGACCCTGTGCATCCCAGTACCTTTACTTGACATGTACCTGTTATCTGGGTTGTTAGGGAGATGACCTCGGGAAGGACAGAAGACCAAGCGCCAATGCTGACACTGTAGTTGGTACCGGGACGCAGGTCCAAGCACATCTCCGGAGCCTGGCTGCTGGTAGTGATGTTAAAGGTGATTTCCTGGGCAAACTCCTTCTGATACCATCTCTGGCCCTGAATGCGGAGCTAGAACACACAGAAGTTCACGGGCGAATCACGAGCTTGAAGGGCTAGATCTTTACCTTTCTCATGAACTCTCTTGCTCTTGACTCTACAGTTCCTTCAAAACGCGAAATGCAATAAGTAAAGATTAGAGTCGCCACACCACAAATATTGTCGTTGCAATAGTATCAGTGTAATAAATGTATTTTTTTATATCAAAATGCACTAAAGGTCGAGGTGCCAAACACTGGCAACTTTCTCTTTCTTGTTCTCACATCCATGATACATAGTTCAACGTGGAAGTGCATTGGCAAAAGTTTAGAAGCAAAGCCAAAGATCATTTCCCTAGAAAGACAATTAAAAATCTGACATAAGGCCCTGGCTGACGTGGCTCAGCAGTTAGAACCATCGGCCCATGGACCTGAGGGTCTCGGGATTGAGTCCTAGTCAAGGGCACCCTGGGATGCAGGTTCGATTCCAGGCCCAGGTCAGGGCGCATGAGGGAGGCAACTAATTGATGTGTCTCCTCTCTCACATCAATGTCTTTGTCTCTCTCTCCCTCCCTCCCTCCCTCCCTCTCTCCCTTCCTTCCACTCTCTAAAAAATCAATGGGAAAAATATCCTCGGGAAAGGATTAACAACAATAAAAGTCTGAAGTAGGGGTTCCCCACAGCAGGATGTGAATTAGGATACCCTGAGCTGGTCTGGTGAAACCTGGGGAGGATTTTTCTCCTCTGCCCACCCCTTCCTGACATTCCCTATACTGTCCTGTAACATTCCAGTACCTGTGCCAATCCGCACGCATGCTTCCCTCTACTTAATTCCTTTTAATAACAGCTCACCCCATGACCTTTCACTTTCTTTCCGACAACCACATCTAGCTCCAAGGACCCCCTGGCCTCTCTGGGCAGCACATTCAGACCCTTGTCGGGGACACTGGTGTGGAGAGACACACACGCAAAAGCCTTTGGATGCCTACCCGGATCTGCCTGCACATCAGCCCTGCTCCAGGCTACGTGCTCACACCCATATCACCCCTCCTGGCTTTCTCATCCATCCCCAAGGCCACTCTTGTCAAAAAAGCAGCAGAAGTGCTCATTTTATTGCTTCTGGTTGTGACTGTCACTTATAATTATCCTATTCACAATGGCAGCTAAGTAAGCAGAATTTTGGGTGCTTTGATATTTTTTTAAACCTCCCACACAACCCAAACACCCATCAATAGAGTAACTTTCAGTAACTCACTAAATACATTTCCTTCCTGCCGGCTGTCTTCGTGTTTCTCCATCTCAAGCAGGTTTCATTAAATATTGAAGCGTTGCTGATGGTCTGTTTAACTTCAGGGAGTAAAGAAGGAGAAATCAATGGATGCCCTGTACAAAAATACTACCTTTTCATTTTCCAAGGATAAGCATTTACATAGAATGATTTCAGCAGTGTTTTAATTTACAAATGAGTGATAGTAACACACTTTTACATTTATGTAAAATCAGCCCTAATGAAAGATGTAGGATTACAAGGTGCCCAATCAGAAGATCCCTCTTTAAAATTATTTAAATCTGCCCGGCTGCTATGACTCAGTGGTTGAGCTATAACCCAGGAGGTCATGGCTCATTCCTAGTCAGGGCACATACTCCGGGTTGTGGGCTTGATCCCCAGTAGGGGGTGTGCAGGAAGCAGCCGATCAATGATTCTCTCTCTCTCCCTCTCCCTCCCTTTCTCTAAAATCAATAAAACAAAATAAAAACATATATATTTTTTAAATGCAATATTTAAAAAACACAACATTTTAAATATCTAATTATTCTGCAAACTCCCTTGGTTTACCTAAAGTTAAAACAGCAGCTCATTGTACCCACCTTGGACAACATCACTTGCACAAATAAGCATCAGTTTGCGATTCTGAGCTGAGGGCAACATTTCAGCCCGGAACTGAGAATCGCTGTGAGGGGACTGAACATCCCTATCTTAAGCAGTCAGACATTACATGATGGAAAGGGGGAAGGGGCTTGGCTTCTATTTGCTGGGCTTCCTCATCTCTTAGGATCAAAGTACTTGTTGGCCTCTGCTCTGCTTCATGGTAATCAGTCTAAAGTTAGTTCAGATCTAGTACAGTATAACCAACCCCAGCTTTTTTAAAATAAAGACTACTTTTCAAAACTCTGATATCAGATGTCTACCGCCTTCAATAATTATCCCTGGCCCTAGACTGAAGAGAGAGAGAGAGAGAGAGAGAGAGAGAGAGAGAGAGAGAGAGAGAGAGAGCGCGCGCAGACTTGCTAAGAAGTTTCATAGGAACGCTGTGATAATGAAGAAGTGATAAAGACAACTCCCAAAGCATCTGAAAAAGAAGTCTCATGGGAGCCAAGCCTTTATGTGTAAGTCCCGGGCCCGACAGGGTCCTACGAACGAAGGCAAGTTGGTCAACGTGAGAGTTCTTTATGGATTGGGTGGCTTTGCCCAGAGGAAACCTGTCCCACAGGTCACATGCTCTCCTCTAAATGCTGTAAGACAGAGTAAGAAGGTATAGATGATTCAGGGTAACATACTTCACTTCTGGATATAGACGGTGGTTTTAGAGATAAGTAGTAATGGCCCAAGGAACCTCACACTGATGTAACATACAAAAATGAAATAACTCCACTACTAGTTAATCAGTTCCAGGCTATACAAAAAGGTGGAAAGTTTCCCCGTTCATTCACTATGACTAGATAATCACACACCCAAACAGTACAAGGATAACACAACCAATCACTGAACACACTATGCCAAACTCACTTATTACTATAAATACAAAAATCCAAAATAAAACACTAGCGAATAGGCAGTAAATTCCAAGTACAATATATTATGATCAACAAGAGAGATTTATTCTGGGAAAACAGAGATGATCATTATTGGGAAAGCTATTAATAGATTAAAAGAGAAAATAACATGGTTATTTTTATAATTACAATGATTAATACATTTAATAATTGGGATTAATACATTCCTAACTAAAAATCTTAGTAAACTAGAATTTCATTTGATAGAAACTCCTTAATTAAAAGTGTTTATTAGAAGCCACCATGCTTATAAAACATACTCAGTAAAACAATGAAGCAATTTCTAAGTTAAGAACAATACAAGGATGCATGGTCTCATAACTATTAGTTAGCATTAGTCAGAAGATTCTAGACAATCAGAAAGAGGCAAGAAAAAAATTAGCTATAAATACCAGTAAGAAAGAGAACAAATGACGCAAATGCCAGTAAATCTAAGAGAATTAACTGGGAAAAAATATAAAATGGCTTGAAAACAGAAAAACAAATAATAGGAGTTTGGCAAAGTGCACACAACCACAAAAACATAGAAATCTAATAGTTTCTTATATAGCTGCAAGAACAAGTATGGTAGGCTGAATAATGGCCTCCAAAGATGTCCATATTCTGGTCCCTCCAATTTGTAAATGTGATTAAGATAGGGAGATTTTCCTGGATTAGTCACATGAGCCCAATGCAGTGACAAGGGTCCTAATAAGAGGACGACAAGAAAAACAGAGTAACTGGTTGGTGTGGCTCAGTTGGTTGAGCACCATCCTGTACACCAGAAGGTCTCCAGTTCAAATCCAGGTCAGGGCATATGTCCAGGTTTCAGACTCAATTCCCAGTAGGGGGCATGCAAGAGACAGCCAATCAATGTTTTTCTCTCAAGTGGACTTTTCTCTCCCTTTCTCTCTCTCTCTCTCTCTCTCTCTCTCTCTCTCTCTCTCTCTCTCTCTCTCTATATATATATATATATATATATATATATATATATATATATTTTTTTTTTTTTTTTTTTTTTTTTTTTTTACAGAGAGGAAGGGAGAGGGATAGAGAGTTAGAAACATCGATGAGAGAGAAATATCAATTAGCTGCCTTGTACATGCCCTTGACCAGAATTGAACCTGGGACCCCTCAGTCCACAGGCTGAAGGGTCCCAGGTTCGATTCTGATCAAGGGCACATGCCCGAGTTTCAGGTTCGATCCCCAGGAGGGGGTGTGCAGGAGGCAGCCAATCAGTGATTCTCTCATCATTAATGTTTCTATCTCTCTTGCCCTCTCCCTTCTTCTCTGAAATAATTTTTTTTTAATATTTTTAAAAATCTGGGTTAGAAAAAGATTTGTGGACAAAAGCAGAGGTTAAAATGATGAGCTTCAAAGATGGAGGATTCCTCCAGGAATGCAGGCAGGCTCCGGAAACTGGAAAGGGCAAAGAAGTGGATTTTCCTTTTCCATAAGACAGTAAGTTTGTGGGGTTTTTTTTGTGTTTTTTTGTTTTGTTTTTTTAATATATTTTATTGATTTTGTACAGAGAGGAAGGGAGAGAGACAGAGAGCTAGAAACATCGATGAGAGAGAGTCATCGATCAGCTGCCTCTTGCACACCCCCTACCGGGGATATGCCCGCAACCAAGGTACATGCCCTTGACCAGAATCGAACCCGGGTCCCTTCAGTCCCCAAGCAGACGCTCTATCCATTGAGCCAAACTGGTCCCGGCAGTTTGTGTTGTTTTAAGCCACAAAATTTGCAGTAACTTATACCAGCAATCAGAAAGTAAAACACCAAATAAAAAAAAATAGAAAAATTAAAAGATCCCTATTCACAAGAGAAGACACCATGAATATCCCTGGTTGGATAGTTCAGTTGGTTAGAGCATCATCCCAATATACCAAAGTTGTGGGTTTAATCCCCCATTCAGATTCAAGCTCTCTTTCTCTCTCTCTGAAATAAATAAATAAAGCCCTAGCCGGTTTGGCTCTACCTAGTTGGTAGAGCAGCGTTTTTCAACCGCTGTTCCGGGGCACACTAGTGTGCCGTGAGATGTTGCCTGGTGTGCCGTAGGTGCAGACAAGACAAGAATTTTATAATTTTTCACTATTTTGTTTACTTAATATTTCATAATAAAGTAATTATAAAATACTTTCTTTGTGTTTATTTGATTCCTATTCAAGAGAATTACTTTATATATAGTCAATATAGGCACAGAGTTAAATTTTTTAACCTTTTCTAATGGTGGTGTGCCTCGTGATTTTTTTCATGAAACAAGTGTGCCTTTGCCAAAAAAAGGTTGAAAAACACTGGGGTAGAGCATCAGCCTGTGGACTGAAGGGCTCCTGGTTCGATTCCAGTCAAGGGGACATGCCGGGATTGTGGGTTCAATCCCTAGTAGGGTGCATGCAAGGAGACAGCCAATCAACGATTCTCTCTCATCGTTGATGTTTCTATCTCTCTCCCTCTCCCTTCCTCTTTGACATAAATAAAAAATATATTTTAAGTATAAAAATATATTTATAAACAAATAAATAAACAAATAAATAAATAAATCGATAGATGAAACAGAATAGAACCCAGAAATCAATGTATCTATGCATGGGAAATTACAAATAGTGAAATTTCAAATCAGTGAGAAATAGTTATCCATAATGATAAGATCACATTAGGCCGAGACTGGTTTGGCTCAATGGATAGAGCATCGGCTTGGGGACTGAGGGACCTGAGTTCGATTCCGGTCAAGGGCATGTACCTTGGTTGCAGGCATATCCCCAGTACGGGGTGTGCAAGAGGTAGCTCATTGATGACTCTCCCTCATCGATGTTTCTAGCTCTCTATCTCTCTCCCTTCCTCTCTGTACAAAATCAATAAAATATATATTTTTTTTAAAAAGATCACATTAGAGAAACTCTGGGCAAAATCAATTGATATTGCCTCTGCATTCTCTTAGTACCTTGCAAATGCCTCAATTGAAGCACCTCATATCATATTAACCCAATGGAACAGAGGTGCTCTGAATAAGACATAGTTTCTGCCCTTAATATGTATTTCATCTAGGAGAAGAGTTACTCCCTCTATCGGTATAACAAAAATAGAAGAGAGTGCATAACAAATGTCATAAGGTAAATTTAAGCAATAATTAACATTTGGTAGATGCTTATTGTGTATTAGGAATTGTGCTGGTTCTCCATAACTCATTCAGTCTCACAAGTCTATGAGACTCCAGAGATGAGAAAGGTAATGCTTCTGGGAAAGGAGAGAATTAAAAGGAAGGACTTGGTATCCTTAGGAGACTACATGGTGATGGGGAAAAAGAACTCAGAGGGAAATGCAAGATTCTGCAAGGCAAAAGAGAATCCTTGAATAGAATACACAATTTTTCTCCACCTCTCACACACACACACAAAAAATAATAATAACACAACAAAAATATCCTCTAAAGAAACTGCATTTCACTCAATGACAGAAGAGGGCACTCTTAACTTAGAAATCTTATTAATCCTTTTAATTACCAATTATGACTAAGGAATTAATAGACATTAAGAAGAAACTTTAATCAAAACATTTCAAATAGCACCAGGTTGGTGTGGCTCTGTTGGTTGGAGCATGGTCCTGTGCACCAAGGGGTGGCAGGTTCAATTCCCGATCAGGGCATATACCCAGGTTGTGGCTTCCATCCTTCTCTCTTCACCACCCTTTCCTCTCTCTAAAACTCCAACTTAAAGAAAGAATTAAAATGACATTAAAAAGAAGTAAAAACATTTAATAGGCAATTGAAATGTAATATAGACAAAGATCCAACATATGTATAATTAAAGTCTCTAAAGAAGAAAAACATTGAAACAGTTAATATTTAAAACTATAATCCAGCCCTAACCGGTTTGGCTCAGTGGATAGTGTCGGCCTGCAGACTCAAGGGTCCCAGGTTCGAGTCCAGTCAAGGGCATGTACCTTGGATGCGCGCATATAACCAGTATGGGGTGTGCAGGAGGCAGCTGATTGATGTTTCTCTCTCCTTAATGTTTTAAAAAAAAACACTATAATCCAGGATAACTTTACACAAATTAGAAATATAAATACTGAAAGGGCCCACCCGATACCTGAGAAATATCACCCAGAACAATCAAGCCACGAAAAACTATTAGACTTTAAAGAAAAATCCTTAGCATCTCCACTCAAAGAAATAAATAAGGAAAGAAGAAAGAAAGGAAGGAAGGGAGGGAGGGAGAAGGGAGGAAGAAAAGCATAAGAAAGGATATAATAAATATGAAAGCAAACATTAATGACTCTGAGCAGGAGTCAGCAACTTCTTTTCTACAGAGTCAGTTAGGAAATATTTCAGGCTTTCTGGGCCATCAGCTGTGTCACAACCACTCAACTCTGCCTTCGTAGCACAAAAGCAGTCACAGACAATATGTACATGAATTCTTTATTTACCCCATGAGTATGGTCCTACCTAGCTGGATATACAATATCACTATCTTTTTCTTTTTTTAAAAATTACTTTCCCTGTTTTGGACACATTATAAATGATTGGATATCCCAAGCCAGTTTCTGGCTTGATCATCTGCAAGTATGAATTTCTCAGGCTAATGGTTTGTAAGACAAGTAGGCAAACTTAAGACATAACTCCTCCAACACAGAATAGTTCTAATATTTATCATTTTGTGGGAAAATGTGAGAAACAACATTAAATTAATTGTGGCCTTTGGCTATCTTTTGTTTGAACTTCAATTCTGTAAACAAGAATCAGCCATGGGGGAATATTTTATAAGGTCACCATAGAGCTGAAAGGATGCATGCTATTCAAAACCTACATCATAAACCACCCTCAGGGTTTTCTACCAGGGAATAGAGAGAAGAATGCTCTATCCCCCCTTCTTTTGGTTTTAATTCACAGTGAATGCTTGAGCTGTGGTCAAAGAATCTGCTTTTCTTATTGTTGGGCACATTCGTAGAATGCTGTGTGTGACAGTGGCTTTCTCAACACAGATTAGGTTAGGACCTCTTGGGTGGAATGTGGATATTATCATTCTTTGTTTCCCCTTTTTAATTAATTTATATATTAAATATACTTATATCTGACAAGCAATCTTTTTTATTTCAGGATAAGGAGCAAGAGATAGGAACATCAATAATAAGGGAGAATCATTGATTGACTGCCTCCTGCACACCCCACACTGGGGATTGAGCCCACAACCTGGGTATATGATCTGGCCAGGAATTGAACCATGACTACCTGGTTCAAAGGTCCATACTCAACTACTGAGCCATGCTGGCTGGGGTTTTGTTTTCTTTTTCCTTTTAAAAAAATCTTTCTTGTTGAGAATATTACAAATGTCCCCCATACCCACACACTGCCCCACTCCACCAGGTTCCCACCCCACCCCAGGCCTTCATGGCACTATTGTCTCTGCCCAAGGATTATGCCTATATGCACATAAGTTCTTTGATTAATTTCTTCCCGCTAAGAGCTGCAGTGAGTATGATAGAGACCTCAGAAAGACAGGAGCAGGATCCTCTTCTCCTGTTTACCGTCCAAGGGGGCAGCCTCTCCACCCGGTTGGCCATAAATTTGTCTGGGAAACCCCAGTAGATGTAAGAACAAAAGACCTTATAGAGACTTCTGTGTCCCTTCCCACCAGGGGGAGCTGTGGAGTTGACAGAGCTGTCCTCTCTGTGGCATCCTCACAAGGCCCCGGGCCTTTCTAAGGAACCTGACCTTCATTAGGCCACTGTTCTCTATGGCGGTTCCTGCGCTCACACACGGCCTGCTCAGGAGGCTCAGGAGGCCTCTCCGACCTGCCAGTGCAGACATAGTGCAGCTCACGTTTCTGATCCCCTTAGCTGTCTATAATGACTACCCTTAGGGTTCAGGTTTGGGGTGAGAGACAGGAGGCTTCAGAGAATGCTCAATCCATCACTACTGGGGAGCCCTGAGTACAACAGTCCATTCCTGGTCTGTACCCTCTGTGAGCCAGAACCCCTGTGTGGAAGGAAGGGGAGAGGTGGTAAGTTTCAGGCACCCGGGTCCCCAGGCGAAGTTGGTAGTTTATTAGGACTACAAACCAAGTCTCTTGACTTCCAGACGAGCATTCTTTATGGTCCCCACATCGCACAATTTACATATTTCGCCCGTGGTCCTGAGATACAGAACAGAAAGGCATGCAGACCTACCTGTAGGTGCAGTTGTTATCGTTATTTGCACTGAGTGCTGCTCGGGCGATCCCAGCAGGGTGATATTCACCGTGTAATCAGTTGCCGGGTACAGGTCTAAACACACTGCCGGAGCTCGCTCCCCCGTCGTGAAGTTAAATGACGCCGTGTGGTAGAAATCACTCAGATACCACCTCCGGCCCAGAATTTTGAACTGTCACGGGATGAAAAGAACGTGTTGCATTACCTTTTCTGTTGGCTTGCAGGTATCTAGACCAGAAGCAAAATACATATAAAGCAAGAAGCTTTCTTCTATTCGCGAGGACCCTGTTGTTGGAAGGATGTTTCATGCAGCAGCATGCTCACCTGGGGAAGGACTTGGCAAAACTGCCCTGCCTACTCTATGCAACTTTGCCCCCAAACAGCCACAGACCAAGCTTCGCATGCACAACTTCATCTCAGATGAGCAAGATGTCAGGCTATTCTAAGAGGATCCCTGAATGCCTACCCAGTGAAGGAGATTGCCCTAAAGCTGCTGGGCAAAATTATTTTAAATTCTTTTAATTTCTAAGGAATCCATAGATGAACCTCAAGGAACAGTTGTTGTTGTTGTTGTTTTTGTTTTGTTTTTTTAAAATATATTTTATTGATTTTACACACAGAGGAATTGAGAGGAACAGAGAGTTAGAAATGTTGATGAGAGATAAACATCAACCAGCTGCCTCTTGCACACCCCTCCACTGGGGATGTGCCCGCAACCAAGGTACATGCCCTTGACTGGAATCGATCCCGGGACCTTTCAGTCCGCAGGCCGATGCTCTATCCACTGAGCCAAACTGGTCCTGGCATCAAGGAACAGTTTTTGAACTTATGAGAACTACTCCAAATTATGCATTCAAAGCAACTGTGCAATGTTACTTCACTTTTTCTTTTCTAGTTGAGCTCTGGTTAAAAAAACAACAACAACAAAAAACAACAACAAAAAAACACACAATCATACCTCATCCATTACCAAACTCAAGTTGCAGGTATAATATAGGGACTTATAAGAGCAAATACATGTGAGGGTCCCGGAAGTCATATAATGTGATTATCCCTTGAACGATCAGTGTTACTTTAACTGGGTGTTCATGTGGTTAGTGTTTCCTCTGATGCTCATGCCATTGGCTATCCCACCCCCTATCCTTCTGCATCACTGTCATTCTTCCAGAGTCATCCAACACTCCGTCACAGGACTCATGGGAGAGCCCTCTCTCCCCAATTCCCAGCATTCTCTTGTGTAATTTAAATGTTTTTATCCATAAGTCATCAAAACCTGGCCTCAGAGTACCTTGAGCTCAATGCTATGAAGTTCTTTCACTGAACTTTAGTGACTCAGAACCACAGCCACATCCTAGACTGTGTCATCATCAGAGTTGCTCCACCAACATCTCACGACACCCTAATCGTCTGCACTGCTCACTCCCACTAGAGATGATCTCTCTCAAGAAACCCCCCAAATTTCCTCACTCATAATTTTCTATCAAGCTCTAGTCGGTTTTGCTCAGTGGTCACGTGATCTATTCCAGTCAAGAGTACTTCGGTTGCAGGCTCGATCGTGGTTGGAGCACGTGCAGGAGGCAACCAATCGATGTGTCTCTCTCATATTGATGTTTGTCTCTCTCTCTCTCTGTCTCCCCCTCTCCTTTCCATTCTCTCTAAAAACCAATGGAAAAATATCTTCAGGTCTGTTTAATTGTATAGTTTGACTTTCTAGGCCCCAATACATGATATGCTTTTGGTAAATGATTAATTAATTAATTTTAATTTCATACTTAGTCTACTCATTGCCAGATGATTTTCTAGGCACCAAAAATATGGCACAAAGAACAAAAACAAATCTCAGTTCCTGCCTGAGCTTATTCATAATTTTACTTGAGATTTGTGCTGTATAAAAAGTCAAGTTAAATGAGGACCAATAGCCATGCAATAAGTTTCTTAAAAACTCACATTCAAGTGTGAACTCAATAGCAAAATAAGCTGTAATTATTAAATGCACTAAATTATAATACATGTAAAATACCAGACAAAGGAAATGATAGCACGTAACCAAATAAGGTCTTCCTTCAATTTAGTCCCTCACTTGTATCCATCTCACATCTCACATCCATCGCTAGAAACAAAAACCAAACTGTCTAGAAGTGCATTTCAAGAGTGGTTTCAAACTTTGAATTCTCACTTGGAGAGCACCCAAACTTTTAAGTGACCCAAGTCTTTAATAAATAACATAAGAGATCTTACTTGGTACGTTTGTTCTGATCCAACTTTCCTAGAATGCCTGTTCAGTTTCAAACAAGCTTCATTAAATAGTGAGACATTGAAAATTCCATCATCTTCTAAGAGATCATCTAAAAAATAAGAGAGAACATATGAAAAGATTGCATCATCTTAGCAAAACATATTGTGGCTAATCACAATCGAAATTTGGACATCTTAATACAGCCAATAGGGTGTTTAACAGCAAGAGCAGTGCATTTGGCTTCAAGTCCTGGCTCTGCAACTTCTTAACTGCATGACCTTAGCTAACCCACTTAGCCCCTCCGAACCTGTTTCCTAATTTGTGAAATCAAGTAATCCAGTTTGCATCTCTTATGTCATAGGCTATTGAGAGAACCAAATGAAAAAAAAAAAAAAAGCATTTAAAAAAATTGCAGTAAACTAATAAAGCTGTGGTATTTTTAGAAAGTTAATCCTATCACTTGGATAGTCCATAAGTAAAATGCCATGTTTTAAGCATATCAATAGCCAGAAAAATCTGAGAATAGGAAAAAGGTGAATAAAGGCAAAGGCCATGGAATAGAACTCTCAGAATGAGTGTTTCCAACCTAGAAGATGACCAGAAAGCAGGTGACTAGTGAGATGTTTGTTCTCACAGCAGACAATACTCAGGAACCTGCTCATATGAGTCCTAGGGCAGTAAAGTAATCAGAAGCAGACTAATTTCACTCACTATTCAGAAAAAAGTAATTTTATGACTACTGTAGTCTAATTCATTCCACCAATGCTCCATTTTCTTAATGTAATCAAAAGAAGAGGTTAGCAATGAATAAAGAACTCACAGAGCCTGGGAGGATCACAGCTAATTTTCAAGGAAAAGCAAATTTCCTACCACACAAGCCTGCGTGTTTTCTCCAAGTAAGAAAAAAATTTGAATGTCTATCAGAGGGAAGCTTTTCATAAACACCTTTTATGTCTATTTCTCCTGCAGGAGTCTCTGCTACCTAAGAAGTAATGATGATTACAGTAAATTATTCTACTCAAAATCAGAACTGTCCACAGAATTGTCACCGTCACGGGCATTTGCAGCACAAGGCAATTAGCTGGGAGAAAATATTCTTGGTTATAAATGAAAATGTGGAAATACGGTTATGAGAGAGAATCTGAAGGCCTATCATGCGTTCTTCTTCATCTTCACAACTTTTATGTTACAGGTTTCCTAAGGACACTGGAAATAAAAACTGTCACATGTATGCAAATGGCTTTGAGGCGCATCGAATGTATGTTAAGAAATGTCACAGGTGGTCTATGTACACCAACAGAACATAAAGCAAAACTGCCATCTGCATAGTTCTCGTCTCCAATATGACTTTCCCACGTACAGCCATTATCATCTGGAGACCTTCTAAGGGGAGGCCTAGAACCTCCAGGTTCCATCAGCCTGGGCTGGCAAAAGCACAGACTGGGACTTTACTGCCTTCATAGGCAGTAAGATCATAATGAAGCCAGGCAACACTGAGCTGGCTCAAGAGTGACAATAATACCTATCAGAACAGCAAAATGCTCAGAAATAAAGCTCAGGGCAGTGAGTTTTCTCATAGCTGCTCTCCAAAGGACACCAGATCATCCATCTTACAGTAAATCCTTCAAGATGAGATCATTATGAGATAAGCACACAAATATTATCCAATAAAAAGTAAGGTCAAATGTAATGGCATCTGTGTGTGTGTGTGTGTGTGTGTGTGTGTGTGTGTGTGTGTATGCAAAGATAGAAATCACTGTGCAGAGAGATAAAACAGAGGAAAATGGAGAGACTTTGGTATGAAACATTAGAATGCAGTAAGGCTGAAACATATACCTGTTTAAATAATTGTTATACGTATTGTTATAAATCAATATAAAAATGAACTCTTTAAAGATGCAATACACATTAAAAGTATTTAGAAATGAGCTGGCAATAAAATGCCATGCTCAAACAATAACATCAGAAAAGCTAGAGGAGAAGAAATAAAAGGAAATAAAACATACAAATACCCACGTCTTATTCAAGGAGAAGTTAACATTATTTCCATCTTAATGCTGATAATCAGAGGAATACATATTCAAGTAGGCTGATTTTTGTTTTTTAATATGTATTGTAGAATTAAAGCAAAATCTATATTGTCTGAATCATTCAAAAAGAAACCCCGAGCAGCAAAAAGAAAACAATGAACATAACAAAGTAGCATAAAAAAGAATAAAATAAATAAGATGACAGAAGAAAAGAAAATTTTATCACAAACAACACTAATGTAAATTGCTTAACTACAAAAAAATAACACTTTTCTCAAAAAGGTTTCTCAACATATGCAGCTCCTAACACACATCCCTAACAATGTTATCCGTGGAGCTTTTAAGGAGAACAAAAGTGGGTGAAGGCGAATCAGACAAACCAAGCACAAAAAAATAAAAAATAAAAAAACAATATTACTAATCAAAGTATAATTCAAGGCAAACAATATTAAACAGGATAAAGTGAGCCATTTGTTACTAGTAAAAGTTAGACTCTACAATAGATATCAGTCATGAACATAAATATCATGATATCAAAAGGCATGAAACAAAAAAATGAGAATTCCTAAGAGAGATTGAGAAAAATGGCAATCCAAGCAAGCAACAACAAAAATTAAAGATAAACAAACAGAAGACCTGGAAAATCTTATTAATAGGGTTCATTGAAACCTAGGTCTACTCTACCTACAAGAAAACACTCTACCACCCACCACCAACCACAAAATTACAAAAATTGGCCAAAATTACAAAAATTAGCCAAGAGTTAGCCCCCTCAAAATGTCAACAAATCCATTGAAAGAACGCCAAAATGTAATTAAACTAGAAATATTGATAACAATGAAGTACAAATGTCTTTAAAAATACCACTTGCATAACACATAATTAATCCTTCAATCAATGGGGAAATCAAAATGGCAATTATATAGTGCTTTGACAGTAAGGATAAAGAGAACGTACATTAACAAACTCATAAATAATTCTTAAATCAAAAGGAAAATCACAATAGCAATTATATCATGCCATAAAAGTAAGAATAAAGAGAATAGGTATCCATCCATACCTAAGGAATTCTGCCCAAGCTCAAATTAGGAAGAAGAAAGAAGCATTAGAGACTTTTATTATCAAACAGGAAAGAATGGAAATAAGTTGGATTATGCATTCAATTCAAGAATTTGAGGACAGAACAATATAACCAATTTAAGAGAAGCAGAACAAAGTAATTAAAATAAGGGAGAAATTAATGAGGTAGAAAAAAGAAAAAACAATGGAAAAAAAAAACACTAAATTTATTGAGGCGGTGTGTGTATGTGGGAAGGGTGGGGAACAGTAGTAAAACAGGCAATTCAAGCTAAACTAATCCATTTTTTAAAAAGAGAAAACAGCTCTAACCGGTTTGGCTCAGTGGATAAAGTGCAGGCTTGCGAACTCAAGGGTCCCAGGTTCAATTCTGGTCAAGGGCATGTACCTTGGTTTCGGGCACATACCCAGTAGGGAGTATGCAGGAGACAGCTGATTGATGTTTCTCTCTCATCAATGTTTCTAACACTCTGTCCCTCTCCCTTCCTCTCTGTAAAAAAAATCAATAAAATGTGTTTAAAAAATAAAATTAAAATAAAAAGAGAAAACAACAAAATTAGGAATAAGAATAACCTGGGGTTATACAACCTTTAGTCCCAGAGGAGTTGTAAATAAATGTTCCAAATGACATCTGGCCAATATATTTTAAAGCTCAACAACGGGGACCCTTTTTAAGGAAGGCATAGATTATAAAAATTGACTCAAGAAAATGTAAGAAACAAACAAACCACAAATAATCATAGAAGTAACTGACAAAGTTATCAAAGAATTATATCCTAAAAGGGGTGAGACTTAAATAATCTTATGAACAAATGTGTCCAACTTTAAAGAAAGGGAATAATTAAAAAATTATATAAACTTTTCCAGAAAATAAAAAATATGGAAAGCTTCACAATTCATTTGAAGAGAACTAGCATGATCCTGAAAATGAAATTAATAGTTAAATATATAGGATCTAGAAGGAAATGATAAATCTTTACAAAAGTGCATAACAAGGGAAGTGCATAACAAGGGAAGACAAAATCTAAGTATATATTGAGTACCTGTTTCCCACTGAGGCCACTCAATCTAATTAATCCAATTCTCACTAGATTAATTTGCAAATTTAATCCAACTCCACTTAAAATTTAAGACGGAGGAAAGTGGGCTGGAGACATTAAACATATCAGCCATGGTCACCCCATTCCTCAAGGCAGGGTTAAGATGCAAAACCAGGTCTGTCTGACCCCAAAGAACATGCTTTCCCAGTGGAGATTAACTTGAAGAAGTAGTAAGATATTAGTAAAAACAGCTGACCCTGAACATCAAACTGCCATTCTGACCGAACAATGAAAAATGAGTTTGAAGTCCTGGGATGCTCTCTCTCTCTCTCTCTCTCTCTTTTTTTTTTTTTTTTTTTTAATATTCCTAATAAATCCATAGCAGTTTATTATTAATTTTGTACAAGCTTCTCTAGTTACCATACTAATTTTATAATATAATTCCTTACATGTTATTGACTTACTAGAAAGAAATCATTTTGTTTTAGACATATACTAGTACAAGTACCCAAGGATCTAATTTCTATAATTTCGTAGTTGGCTTTGTATTGTTAAGATTGGCAGTCTTTTTTATTATTTCTACCAAATCTCTAACACTTCCTGTTCCTAGTGGCAGCAATAACTGAAGGCTGGCATACATTTTCTTTTTCTTTTCTTTTCTTTTTTTTTTTAATATATTTTTTTGTTGATTTTGTACAGAAAGAAAGGGAGATAGTTAGAAACTTCGATGAGAGAGAGTCATCGATCAGCTGCCTCTTGCACACCCCCTACTGGGGATATGCCCGCAACCAAGGTACATGCCCTTGACCGGAATTGAACCCAGGACCCTTCAGTCCCCAAGCCGACGCTCTATCCATTGAGCCAAACCGGTTTTGGCTGGCATACATCTTCTTAAGTGAAACCTATCTTAACTATCCCCAAATAAAAAATGACCCCAAAGACTTCTCCAGGTTTGCTTACAAAGTGTTTAATTAGTCCTAATACCCTATAACTAGAATTCTTTTTTAAAAACTTATAACTGTTACAATCCTCCTATAAAATAATAATCTAATATGCAAATTGTTCCCTCGACTGGGTGTTTGACTGGCGGGGGCAGGGCCGGCCAGCCCAATTGGCCCCAATTGGGGCTGGTAGGCCAGACCCCACCAGTGCATGAATTCATGCACCTGGCCTCTAGTATTACTATAAAAAATCTATGTGATAACTATTAATATATGCAATGAGGTTTATTACTACTTCTGGAAGCTTCTTCCTGCCAATATCTCTTTTCATCTAACACTTACCATCCTGCACCCTGGGACTGCCTACCCCTATCCACTCGCCCACAGTCAACGTGATTACCCAGCCCGGATCAGTCCTGGGGTCAGTTCCCATTTAAGATGTAAAGCCACTAGGTTAGTGTCTCAGGCTCTCTCGCAGACAAGAGTCGGAAATGATTTTTGTCATTTCAAAGAGCCATGTGGCCACTTCTCTTGCCTTGGGTAACTGAGCACTGACTGCATCATCACCTCACGATGTCTTCTTTTAAATGCCTTATCACCTCCCACTTTAATCAGACGCCCAGCTGAGACACAATACATTGCGCCTGGCGTCCCTAGTATAGGAATCCCTCCTGCTGGACCTTCTCCTGGCCACGGATCTCAGGGAGCAACTCTGAACTCTCCTGCCCAGTTGATTCTGAAGCATATTTCCCCTACATCCTGTGCTTCGCATTTTCTGGGAGGAAATGAGACTTCCCTTCTACCTACCTGCTGTCTGGAACCCAATGACGGCTGGCACGGAGCGTCTGGGAGGGGCAGTGGAGATGGTCACGGTGTAGTTGGTGCCTTGGTGCAGGTCTAGGCACACGTGTGGGGTACTGCTGTCTGCGGTCAGGTTGACTGTCTCCTCATGAGCTGGTTCTATCTGGTCTGCCCGGTGTCCTTTCACGTGTACCTTTGCGAGGGGCAAAGACAAGAGAACCCACCATGACTCCAGTTAAGACTACCAAGAGAGATTTGATGGTGCTGGATCCTTTTCTCCTACTGTTTGCTTTACACTGCTCTGCTCTCCTTGCTTGGGGGGTTGCGGGTGGGGGGGGGAGTGGAGTGCAGGGGGAGAGGGAAGGGAGAGTGGGGCATGGGAAATCAGGTAAACCTCTGCTCTCAGGTATCTGATGATAAAGTCTGATCAGCCCAGTAACCAACAGGCCCTAAGAAGTGATATAAGCTGAAACCGGTTTGGCTCAGTGGCTAGAGCATTGGCCTGCAGACTCAAGGGTCGCAGGTTCGATTTCGGTCAAGGACACATACCTTGGTTGTGGGCACATACCCAGTAGGGGGTGTGCAGGAGGCAGCTGATCGATGTTTCTCTCTCACTGATGTTTCTAACTCTCTATCCCTCTCCCTTCCTCTCTGTAAAAACTCAATAAAAAAAAAAATTATATATATATATATTTTTTTTATTTTTTATTTATTTTTTTCTAAAAGAAGTGATATAAAATGAGAAGTCCTGAGTCTGAGTGCTACCCCACACACAGCTGTCCAGCCATCAACAGAGTCACAGCCTGAGACCTGCTCCCTGCCACCTGTCACAGAGTCAGCAGCCACTTCTAGGCTGACGCTGGGGGAGTGACATGAAAGTGCTTGGAAACAAGCTCTGATACCAAATATCAATGCATCCCCACACATACACCCTGTCCACAAACACATTGAAAACAAAATGTGAAGTAAAATAATCCAGATATCTTAAAACAAAACAAAAACAAAAAAAACAAAAAACTGTTCCCCTTTTAATGGATAATGGGATTGGAGAGCAATTAAGTTGAGAGGTTCTTCGGGAAACAAATCCAGCATCTCGTGTTCCCCAGGATTCCATTCCTGCCCCAGAAGGAAAAAGGCGGTCCCTTTGCTTACCACATATAGGATGCCGGAGGTCACTTTTCCCGCGTTTGTCTGCCACCTCACACAGGTGCCATTAAACATGGATACATCGTTAATTTCTGTAATTATGTCTAAAACAGAAAAACAGACAGTCCGCTCACAAAAGGCATCGGTGAATTTTGGAAAAATCCGAACAGCGAGCGACCGGGTTGGAGGGCATGACTTCGTTGACCTGTCCAGCGAATATCTGCTGCTCACGGTTCCTGCTCTGATTCAGAAAACCAATCAGGCAAGTCAAGCTACCCTAGGCCTATCATCCCATTTATCTTCATCATGAATGATCCTGGCCCGTGACCTGACTTGGAGGAAATTCTTACCCATACTCCTGCTTGGGTGAGTGTGGGTAAGAATTTCAACCTGTGGTCGATCACACAGGCCCCTGGCTGCCCCTGGCATGCTACCCGTGTGGGGTGGAAAAGGCCCAGAGCTGGGCCAGGCCTCTCCCCTGCAGCGGCACAGGTCAGATCTGGTTCTGGCTCCTCATGCCCCCGGCGGGTGAAGCACACTTATTTCCAGGCCACTGCCGCTCCCCAGAGGGAAGTGACACGCACCACCTCTCAGGACCGTCCCTAAGGAGCAGGCTGGGGTAAACTCCATGAATTCTCACAAGGTCCCTGGATACTTCTGGGACTCCTTCAACTGACGCTATTTATTCCTGACCTATCAGGAAGCCACCGATTCCTCTGAATTGTTCTGCTTCTTTTTAAATATTCTGCATGCATTTCATGTAATGAATTTGGCAACGTGGGGCACCGTATCAGGGTCTTGGTCCCCTGAGGTGTCACAGTTTCTAATGGCCCCAGTTACGACCTAGGAAGTTGTTCAGATGGGAAGAGGGCATAGCTTTTTACCTATTTAAAATCAAACCCCCTGCAGCTAAGTAAAACCATCTCTACCAGTAGGTGACATAATCTTGTCTATATTTTAAAAAATTAAAATTAGCCCACCAGTGTGACTCAGTGGTTGAGCATCAACCCATGAACCAGGAGGTCATGATTTTATTCCTGGTCAGGGCACATGCCCGGGGTTGTGGGCTCCATCTCCAGTGGAGGGTGTGCAGGAGGCAGCGGATCAATGATTCTCTCATTGATGTTTCTATCTCACTCTTACTCTCTCTTCCTTTCTCTGAAATCAATAAAAACATATTTTTTTAAAAAGTAAGATGGCTGATATCCTAATATTACTCATACACTACTCCAAAGGCAATTCCCAAATGGATTATAAAACCGATTTTGTTTATGGCAGCAGCATCAAAATGAGGATATGGCTTCCCAAGGTGACTACTTTGAATAAGTGCATATTTGAATAAATTAAATTATGGGAGTTCTGCTATGTTTCCTTCCTTCCTTCCTTCTTTTTTTAATCTTTAGAATCAGAAAATAAGTAGAACTAACATGGCATAGAGTAGTGATTTCCTAAAATGCATTTATATACTTCAGGATGATTTTTTGGTTGTACTTAAATCAGTTATTGCTTTGTATTAATTTTTGTGTGTATTAGAAAAAAATTACACACTCATGATATCAAATACATTGCAAAATGCCCTTGGTCAACACATTTAAATGATAAATTTAAGTTTTAAATATAAACTGTTCTAAGAAAACTATTAAACAGATAATACTTTTGTTATAGCAAACACTGTCAGGGTGGCATACAAAAAATCCAAGCTTGGAAAACTCTGGCACAGGAGGGAGATCATGGGCTTTCGAGGCTAATGGACCTGAGTTCAAATCCTAATTCTGCCACGTGCTGAGTGATCCTGTGGGAGCTGTTTAACTTCCACGAGTCTCAGATGCCTCATCTATGAAATGAAAATGACATACTTCATCGCACAGGGTTTTTCTGAGGACAGAATGAACTCAAGCAGTGAGGCCTCTCACTGTCAGGGTGGGTACATTGGTATGCAGTCGAGGATGGCTTGAATGCTTGATGGTCCAAACGTTAGGCACATATTCAAACAAGCCCCAGCCCCGAGGCTACTTATATAAATGAGCCCATTTATCCTGGGCGACGATTCTTTCCCATCAGAAACATGCAGAACTGCAAGTGAGCATCACTGAGTTGAAGAGGAAGGTTGACAAAAAAAACACAAAACACAACAACAACAAAGCAAAACAAGGAGCAGAGGCGACCAGGAGGCCCGGGGCCTTTGGGAGTGGCTGCCAGAGTCAGGCTGGGGGGTTCCGAAGGGATCACAGAGACAAACAGTCTGTGTTCCAATAGAGATATTATTACCCCTCTGGAAGGAGAGAGCATCAACCTTATAATTATTAACCCACATTCTAAACATAAAAAGCCAAATGACCTGTGCAGAATGAAAGGCAGGACAGCCTTATCAAGAGTGAATCAACCTCTTTGATCTTGAGGGAAACCAACTCACTGCACATCAAGCTTCCACCTGGGGTTTTTCCAGACACGAGAGCAGTTACCTAATTCTCAGCTGTCTGGAGTTTCCAGTCCAAACCAGCCTTAAAAAAAAAAAAAGTGTACCACCTTGCTCGAGTTCACACTCCATTAGAAACATGGACAGAGGCATGCTACTGATCCAGAGAAAGAGAGCTCCAAAAAGATTTAAAAAAATTTTTTTTTATTTTTTTAATATATATATTTTATTGATTTTTTTACAGAGAGGGAGGGAGAAAGACAGAGAGCCAGAAACGTCGATGAGAGAGAAACATTGACCAGCCGCCTCCTGCACACCCCCCACCGGGGATGTGCCCGCAACCAATGTACATGCCCTTGCCTGGAATCGAACCTGGGACCTTTCAGTCCGCAGACCGACGCTCTACCGCTGAGCCAAACCGGCTTCAGCTCCGAAAAGATTTTAAACTAAAAACAACTGGGGTAAAATGAAGATAGAATCTCCCCCCCACCCCCACCCCAATTTGGAATGAAACATTCAGTGTAAAAAGAGGGGGAAATGGAATGAAAACAGAGAACAGAGGAAGAGAGAAGTCAGAGGTTAGGCAGAAAAGTAGACAATGGGGGAAAAAACCCAAAAGTGGCTCAATGGTTGAGTATCATCCTGTGACTCAGGAGGTTACGGTTCAATTCCTGGTCAGGGCACATGCCGGTTGCAGGCTCCATCCCCAGTCGGGGGCTTGCAGGAGGCAGCCAATAGATGATTCTCTCTCATCACTGATGTCTCTATCTCTCTCTCCCTCTCCCTTCCTCTCTGAAGTGAAGACCGAGGAAGACAAACACCAAATATACAGAGGGAGTTGGGACAGAAGGGAAGGTAAAAGGAAATGGGTGAAAAACAAGGAGAAGGAAAAAAAAAAGGGGGGGGGAGGGGGTAGCTGAGCAAGAGCCAGGGTAACCAGCTCCCCTCACTACCTCTCCCACCTACCCACCCCGCCCGCCCGTGAGCAAGTGCAGGGCACTGTGAATTGATCAGCATGCAAATGGCCCCCTTTATCTGCGGGAAATGAATTTAGTTGCCAATCTTGATTGGGAGCCAGAGGCCTCCTCACAGAAAGATAACAGCTCTCAGGAAGAATGCCTTTTCTCTCCTTAAATCAAAGCCTGAATAACCCCATGGAAACAGTTGCAGCTGGAGCCACAGACACTGTGAAAGGTGGCAGGCTGAGGATGTAATTAAAATTAGCTGTTACATAACATGTTTGTTCTTCAAAGTGCCTACAAGCATCCGCTAATTAATAGCTTACTATGCCCCATGCAGACCCACTGGTTTTTCATGCAGTGACTAATCTTTGTACCTCCCCCCCCCCCTTGAATTCTGAGTGGTGGAGGCAGAGCAGCTTGAGCGAGAAAGCAAATGGCTGGGTCCAGAAGCTATGCCCTGCTCTCTCACCAAGGGACTCCGTAGATAGCTCTGGGCTAGGAACGCATCCCCAGATGTTGAATTCTGCATCTCATGAGGCAGCTGCCTCAATTTCTCCAAATAACTCTTAGAGGTGCTGTTCAAAATGCTGTAATAGGCTGGAATGGCCATTAAGACTGGAACCCTGGAGTTCCTGTTGTTAGTTACAGGTTTGTCTGCTTTTCTGTGCAGGTTGGGCAAGTGAGGGAGCCCTACCCAGAGATCTCTGGGTTGTTACCCATGCCCGCCCTTTGGTGTTTCTGTGGTTGCAGTCTCCGGCCTACATCCTCCCGTGCTTGTGGTAGAGATGACTGCATGTGGGAACTGCATGCCACAGACAGGGCGTCAGCAGTGGAGCTGAGTTCTCCATCTACACCAGGGCTTCTAGAGGTCCACAGACACCTTGAATTTGTAAAACATCGTATGTACGTGTGTATGTGCATCTCTTTGGAGAAAAGTCTGTTGACCCAATTGCCCTGTCAACTACAAAGGGGCAGCATCTGGCTAAGTACCACCTACATAGTGTATGCCACGTGAATATCTACTGAATTGACAGATTTCGTCACATTTGTGTCCCCAAACTGGTTATGAACTATTGCTCTATGGACAAATAATCACCAGCAGTTCACGCTTTGCTTTCTCTGGCTAGACTTCTCTACGGAAAACTTTGATGGGCGAGACTCGGGACATTCTATCCTAATTCTGCTGCAAGTCAAGCCAGAGACCAGGTGAAGAGATTTCCACTCTTCAAAGCTTTGTCTTTGGAGCCAAGAAAGTCAACATTTAGAAATCCGTTCCCAGAGTCATTCAGCCATTTGTCACATGCCCAGACCAACCATCACAAATGGTGAGAATCATCGCCTTTTCCCACCCGGCTTCTTGGGGACACAGGTGTGAGATAAAGCATTCGGAAGTGCACATTTCTCATTCAGGAGATCCTCCTTTATTTTTTTTAATATATTTTATTGATTTTTTTACAGAGAGGAAGGGAGAGGGACAGAGAGCTAGAAACATCGATGAGAAACATCAATCAGCTGCCTCCTGCACACCCCCCCACTGGGGATGTGCCTGCAACCAAGGTACATGCCCTTGACCGGAATCGAACCTGGGACCTTTCAATCTGCAGGCCGACGCTCTATCCACTGAGCCAAATGGGTTTCGGCAGGAGAGCCTCTTTAAGCAAGGTGAATAATTTCAGTAACGACCTGACACGTATACTGTGCTTTACACTTTTCAAATTGCTCCCCACAGATTACCTCATTTGCTTCCCTCTCAGTAACTCTTTGAAGCAGGGAGAGCAGACTGTATTTTCCCACTTTTAGAGCTGAGGAAACTCGGGGTTAGGGCAAATGATGACTTACCGTATGGCACACAGCTTAATATGTGGCACTGCTAGAACCTGAACAGAAGTCTCAAAACCCCTATTTGCCAGGAATTCTATTTGGAGGTATATATCCAAAAGAATTGAAAGAAGGGTCTCAAAGAGGTATTTGCACACATATGTGCATAGCAGCATTATTCATAACAGCCAAGAGGTGGAAGCAACAATGGATAAATACAACATAATAGATACACAAGTGGAATATTATTCCACTTTCAAAAAAGAAGTCAATCTCATCACTTCAGACAGCATGGATGAACCGGAGGACATTATGCTAAGTGAGATAAGCCAATCTCAGAAGGACAAATGTTACGTGGTCTCGCTTATATAAGGTAATGAAATTAGTCAAGCTCATAGAAACGGGAAGTAGAATGGCGGTGCCAGAGTCTGTGGGGAGGGCCAGTGGGGAGTCATTGCTTAACGGGCACAGAGTTTCAGTTTTGGAAGATGAAAAAGTTCTGGAGATAAGTTGCACAACAACGTGAAAATACTTAGAAAATGGGTAAGATGGTAAATTTTATGTTGTCTGTATTTTACCATACCACCAATAAAAATAAACATTAAACACCCATTTTTCCTTACATCACCTCTTCTCTGAAAAGCTGCCAACATGGGCTAAGTGAGGACTTTTAGGGACGGCCCCCTGAGAAAACGGTTCAGAGAGAAACATTCCTTAGCCTGCCAAGCTGAGGAGACAGGAGTCACTGTGATTTAACAGGAGCTTCGAGAGATGGCAGCGCGACATGTTCTATCCCAATCCACCCTCTAAATTTCCAGGATTTAGCTGACAAACTTAAAGCCAGAGGCCCACGCAGGCAAAGGGCATAGCCAGGCACACGCAGCACACAGAGGGCGGCAGCAATGGAACCGCTTTAGGTCCCGTACTCCGCTGGCCCTTCCCTTCTAGCAAACGGGGAATAAAGTCTCTACCTGTGCATGTCAAAGTGCTTTCTCTCCAGGTGCCTTCCTCGGTGCAAACGGACATGATCTTTCCTCCGCGGCTCTCGAAGCCCTCTTGACAGGCGTAGTGAGCCACACTGCCCAGGCCGGAGCTGTGATTCCCCACCAGGGACGCGTGCTGCACTTCCGGAGGGCGGCCGCAGCTGATCTCTGCAAGGGGAGGTAGCACAGCGCTGGTCATGACCCCGAGTTCTATCCCCATAGTTCATATTGTGGGAATAAACACCTAGCAACGACAGAGGCCACCTTTGGGAAGAGAGAAAACACTAGTCCAATTGCAGGTATACAAAGTAAGGTTGTTAGGAAGTACAGAAATTTACAAACTCACGTGCATAAAAAAAAAATTCCAATGATAAGATTATTTGTGTTATAAAGACTTCCTTGGTCAATGAAATAGTCCATCTCAGAGTTCTTTTAAATATCAAGACTTTCTGGTACCTTTTACCATGCACCTTCAAATCATTAGCTCTTAATTAGACAATAATGCAATTGTAGGAGTTTTGTTGCCAAATGAATATTGAATTATATATATATATGTGTGTGTGTGTGTGTGTGTGTGTGTGTGTGTATATATATATATATATATATATATATATATATATATAAAATCTCTGAACTTTTTAGAGCAAATTAATGGAGTATTTACAGGAAAAGGGCATTACCAGTTTAGACCTAGCTACTTAACATAAGAGTAAAAGAAAGTCATTTTTAGATATTCTACAATTGGGGGGGGGGGGGGGAAATCCATGTGTATCTTTTCTGAAAAAAAAAGTTCAAAGTTAACAATGTAAAAAAACACACACACAAAAACACAATTAATAATTTGAAAATGAAATTCCAAACTCTTTGAACAAAATCTGAGCAGAGAGGTGAAGGGAAGAAATAAAACATGCTACATTTCTCATGTAGTGGGGAACGCATCGATACACTTTTATTCAAGAAAGCATCATAAACATAAAATACAAAATAAAATGGTCTAGTACTTACAAAGGTAACCAATAGTCCTAGTTATACCTAAATACAGAAAGAAAGAAAAATACGACACCCATTTGGCATCCATTCTGGTATTTCGTTTTCTCCCCTACTGTAGAAAGCCAAGTCAAGTAAGCACTCCTAATATCTAGGTTTTTAAAACATAAGTCCATTCATTGAGATAAAGCATTCAAAATAGAGAAAAATATATGATCTGTTTCCAACTCCTCATCCACTCTTCTCAGCCTTAGAATTAGGTGGCTTCTCTCGAATGAGCTCCCGACCCGGAAAGGGTGGATTTAATGGAATCGCCCTCTTCTCCATCTCACCATGGGTGCAGAACCCAGTTATTTCCTTAAGGGAGGCCTCTCTCACCTTTTGTCATTGGAGTTATCTCAAAATCCTTCATACAACAGCTCAACCCACCTGTCCAGTGACCCGGCTCTGAGATTTTTTTTAAAACGAGTTAGTCTCTGGTCAGTGCAGATTCCAATCAAATCAGCGGCAGCTATGACACCAGAATGAGGTGGTCATTTCATAAATCCTCCAACCCTATCTACCTCTCAGGTCCCATGCCTGCTCACAGAGATCTGGCTCCTTTTCACAGATGTTTACCAAACACAAGACCTTATTATGCTTTCCCAGCATCAAGCCTTTAGACATTTATTGGCTCAAAACATTCCAAGACATGAGTATATAATATTTGTGTGTAAATGAGCAACCAACAGAACAGGTGGTTAATGTTTCATAAGACTGCCCAGTCATTGTTGACACCTAAAACATCTTCTAGTTTAAGCCAGGGTTCAGTTACAGCAGGAAATAGATGGAGCATCAGTGAAGAGATTGAGGGTATAGGTTTAAGCAGGTTTATTGGCCTTGAAGCTGGAATTCTAAACAGCACATTGGAGATATTTGGGAGGGAACTCAGTGATAGATAGTTGGTTTAGGGGAGAAGCACAGATACTAAAGGGGTAAGCGTGCAGAAGGTAAGTGTAGAGAGCGCCTGGGAAGGCACATGGGCATTTCTTTAAATTGTCAGCTGAATCCAGGGCGGGAGGCGAAGCCACCTGCTGGAAACACATTCTGCCAAAAGGCAGAAGTGCTGTCAGCTTGACCTTCATCTCTGCCCAAGTGCTGGGGAGTGGGGTTTATTATGTAAATCCAGCCAAGCACCAGGAATGAATATGACTAAGGCCTACCCAGAAGTGACGATTTACAAAGAAGCTATAAGAATGCACATATTCCCCTTTCCTTGTCCTTTAGTAAAACTTCCTGGTATTTGGGGTATAAAATAAACACGTTGTATTGGCTCTGGGTCCCTGTCTCTCCATCAGAAGAGGGCAGCGGTCCCTCCAGGCCCCAGCTTTTCTTTCCATTTCTGTGTCTGTCTCTTTCTTTCATTTTCTCAATCCCCAGCAGCCCCTACTCAGGAACCGATGCTCTCTAGCCACGCTGGATGTGGAAAAGAGAGAACCCTCCATAGGTAAGCCCTAGCCAGTTTGGCTTAGTGGGTAGAGTGCCGGCCTGTGAACTGAAAAGTCCCAGGTTTGATTCTGGTCAAGGGCACATGCCCAGGTTGTGGGCTCAATCCCCAGTGGGGGACTTGCAGGAGGCAGCCAATCCATGATTCTCTCTCATCATTGATGTTTGTATCTCTGTCTCTTTTCCTCTCCCTTCCTCTCTGAAATCAATAAAAATATATATATTTTAAAAAGCATTCTTTCAGGGCACCCATGGCTTCTCAATCTCAACACTGCCACTTCTACTCAGACCAAAAGGTACCCGAGAAAGCAGATGACTCCTATCTATATTAATAAAAGCCTAGATGGCCCTCGCGCCCTCATGTCATCAAAAGATGGCCATCCCCACATTGTCACAAGATGGCTACCACAAGATGGCTGGTAGGGGAGGGCAGTTGGGGGCAATCAGGCTGGCAGAAGAGGACAGTTTGGGGCAATCAGGCCTGCAGGAGAGGGCAGCTGGGGGCCAATCAGACTGGCAGGGGAGTAGTTAGGGGCAATCAGGCAGGAAGGCAGGTGAGTGGTTAAGAGCCAGCAATCGTGGATTGTGAGAGGGATGTCCCTCAAGGATCCCAGATTGGAGAGGGTGCAGGCACGGCTGAGGGACACCCCACCCCCTAGTGCATGAATTGTGTGCACTGGGCCTCTAGTTAAGAAATAATCAAAAATCAATCCAATGAGGCTGCAATAGGTAATGAAAATTTAGTTCTACATGAAAACCACAGACTCTTACCCTCACAAGGAGCCCTGGCAGTTGTGGTTCAATGATTAGAGCATCAGCCTATGCACAGAAGGGTCACAGGTTCGATTCCCAGTTAAGGGAACATACCTGGGTTGCAGGTTCAAGGAGTCACGTAAAGGAGGCAACCAGTTGATGTGTCTCTCTCACATAGATGCTTCTCTCTCTCCCCCATCCCCTTCCCACTCTCTCTAAAATCAGTGAAAAAAATATCCTTGGATGAGGATTAACAAAAAAGAATAACAATAATAATAAAAACAGTTTCTATCCAAAGGAAAGAAAATAATAAGCAGCACAAACCTTGTGCTGCATATGCATTCATTAAAGCACACGTTTGTCTGGCTAATTATATCATTAAGTAATGTTTGGAACTGCATCAGGAATACAGTCCACTAATTATGAACATGGCTGGGAATATTTCCTTACTATTCTATTATCTGTGATTTTATTCAAATGATTGACTTCAAAACAGTTCTCCCTGGGGTGATGGAAGAGGGTTGTGCTGTGCCAGTTTCAAGGATCACATTTATATTGTAACTTTATTTCATATCTCGAAGATGAAAATGTTTGCCCACATGGCTAGCTTTACTACTCTACCCGAGAAAATATTCCAGAAGGAAATCTGGCATCTAATCAATGACTCACTGTATCACCAACATCACCCACAGTGCCTGCTGCTTATCATACAGTCAGCTCAATAAGGTAGCTGGTGACAGAGCACACGTAGTAATAAAAGGATTTATCTAATACTGTTTTAGAGACCAATAAAGACTAAGCTGAGAAAGAAGAGGAAAAAGATACCAATAAGGTCTATAAATTGAGGCAGGCATTTTGCCAACTGCTGGAGAAATAAATGATAGACCTATTTCACATACTGATCTTGACTGGAAAACACACACAACCATCCCTGACAAATAAACTGCTAGATGAAAAGCTTTGGCAAAGGAACAGAAACAAGGATGAAAACTGAAGAAAATCCCATTAAAGTCAGTTGCCTTCTTTGCTCAGCAATAATAGAAGGAAGTCTCTAACCTTCTAAAATCAGCAGCTTTATGTAACACCTGGAAATTAGTATAATGTGGTAGGTTGTAAGAGTCTAGGTCGACTCCACGAGGATCTATATTGATCCCCTGGATCCGATAATTGAGCACTTTTACCTATACTTACTTCACTTATTTCATTTGTAAAAATTTTCTCTTCTCCTCTTAATGGTAAGCTCTTTGTGGGCTGTGTCTATATCCAATATTTTTCAATATCCCTGTATTCATGTGAGTAATTAATATTGTGAACATGAATCTCAGTGATATTTATATGTAAAAAATATGCTAAAGAATGGGTCAAAGTGTAACTTTATGACACAATGTCATGCATTTTTTGGCATGTTTCAAATTTGGCCAGTATAATTTGACCCTCATTCCGGGATCACTTGGGCACTAAATTACATATATCATCCATGTTGGAGGCTGAAATCTAATGTCTCAATCTGTGGCAACTTGAACTTAGCAAATGTTATCATAACCATCAAAGGAAAATGGGAGGGTTTCAGTGTGCCACAAAAGCAGATTCCCAAGAGTAGCTTATTAACTGCTGAGACTAAGCTAATGAGCTCATTAGCACCAAAAGAGTCCATTTGCCTTAGGCAATGAAAGAAAAAATATTTTTTGATGTACTCTATATTCTAAAGTCTTCCACAAACTTAGCCTCGACTAACAATACATTTCCTTCACATAGAGAAAGCTCATTTGGAGAAAAACAAAAGAAAAATTTCCATAACATTTATTGTCAACAAATAGTATCTAGTATGGAAATAGAATCTAAACCTTTCAGAAACTGTAACAATAGAGTTTAATACATATGAATCTTCTTTTTTCTTTTTAAATCATTAAAATTCTTCATTTTAACATTCCAGTTGTAAATAG